GTTTGTAAATGCTTAAACAAATGTTCTTCAATAACAAAGTCCTGCAGAAGTCTACAGAAGCCAGTCTATAAACGTATTGGTCAGTTTTGCAAGGATTCATGTCTTCTAATCAGAGTGAATTTCTTCCTCAGTGATTGGGTCCAGATAAACTACTTTTCTAAACTACTCACATTTATTTAGGTTCTAGCACAGGTAGGCAGCTTAACCTTATCACAACATTATTCAAGTGTTTTAATATCTACCAGGAAATCCAATAAGAGGCTGTGATAGGTCCTGTCCACTTGCTTTTCAAATATGACCAAAAGCTTTCTTTTCAAATTGCCATCTGGGTCTTCTCTTTTCCCTTCCTTCAACCTTTGCAAATAACCACATGTGAATAACCCAAATTGAATTGCGTATGGCTTCCAGAGTATATTGCTTATTTGCAGTATGCGATAAGAGCCATAAATAAATTTCAAATAATTTCTTATAGTTCATATGAGAACCAATGTAGCTATGTATTTTTTATCTAAATTTATGTTCTAGGACTAAGTTCTTCATGCATTTCTTCATATGTTTTCTCTTCTGTCTTTTCTGCTGATAAGTGGTGAGAATGCTACTTAATCTTGTATCCTGCAGTATCAATCATACACTCCACCGGGGTAGTACAACCTGCTCTGTATATGAGAACAGGTTTCTAGGCAGACCGCTCTACTTCCTGACATTGCAGCAACTTGAGTTTTCAGTTTTGTGTCTCAACAAACCCAGAAGGCATTCTGGAAGAACATGTTCATCTGGTTTTCTCTTAAACTTACTTGGCAAGTGTTAACAAGGCCCTCCAGTTCATGTTCTGATACTATGCCTTTTTACTGTTTGCATCTCATTCAAAAAAGGCCAAGCAAAGCCAACAGGTCTCCAATATTGTTGCTTTAGATGCAGAAGAGGTTTGCCTGAGGCTGCAACTTATATACAATCTATTCCTCTTTATCCTTTGCTGGAACACTATTCTTGGCTATCACACTGGCAATGGTCCCAGAAGTCTGTCCCCAGATGCAGGATCATTCATCACTGAACAGTCTTGTCAACTTCTTGTTTGACCTGATGCACATTTTTAAAAAGATTTTCCTCGGAAATAATTTATAAGATACCAGCTGTGCCTTTATGTATGTTTGTTATCATAAAGAAACTTAAGCAAGTATTCTTAGCAGGTATTTCTTGATATTTCTTCTTAAGTTCTAGCAGTGCACATTTCAAATCCATTTCTGAGTAAATTCCTATTTCATATATATTTTCTCTTCCTTCACTAAATCCTAGTGTTATGCAAGAATTAGTGTAACTAATTCTTCCTCAGCACACTTTGTTTTTCTCAAGCTTTCTTAACCCATTCTGTGATTTCTGCTCACCTAGCAAATGTTACAAATACTCGCTAGCCTCACAGCTAAACTTGCTGTGATTTGCCAAGAATGTAAACATGTCAATCAGATTTACATATTTTGCTTCGATATCCTTGTAAATTGGGTATTCACTTAGGATATGTTGACATATCCAGCAGCAAGCCTTATGTCTGTAAATGTCTTTCTGGGTTTTGAGCTTTTTTTATTTTTTTTTCTCCAGAATACTATCAAATAATTGAAATGTTTTCCTTACCTTTTGCATTACTGCTGATTTCCTGTGTTTTAAAAACTGACAATTGTTCCAGACATGTCTGGCAAATGTCATCACCTACTTTAGAATTGCCCTGTTCAGTCAGATGTTTTAGAAACAGAACTATACTCATAGGTCATAGGGCGGTCAATTTGTCCATTTCCTGGTCTCGGCAGCTTTTTTTTCCTCATGAGCTGTTACAAAAATTGTTAAAACTCTATGGCAAATTCCACAGTTTCTGAGTATGTCTTTGTCTTTCTTTTGCTGATTTTCACTTCAGTTTACCCAAGTATTAATAAATAAATTTATTGCCAATTTATTTTAGGAGTCTTCATTTGTATCACACATGCCAAAAGCTCAACTTTTTACATGTTCTACCTATTTCTTTTCTGTCCAGGATCTTCTGGCAAGGTCAGGCTGGTGGCTGTCTTCTAACAGCCTGTACAGTCTCTTTTCTGGATGTAGATTTTGAGTATCTGCAAAATTATATGAGTCAAATTTGATGCAACAGATAGATACATATTTCTGTCTATCTCCTGAGCCAGTGATTGTGATACTGACGCTAAACTGTACTAAACTGGCCATCCAAACAATATTACAACATTTTGCGTTGATTTGTATGAGCAGAAATGACTCAAAATACCTTCAAAGTAGGCAACTCTTGGAAATTACCTGTAGTTTCTTATTGTTCCAGTTGTAACTGACTTCTACTGAGCTGTGAATTTTTAATCTTTCTCAGTGTTTTTGTTTGTCTCCTTAAGTCATTGTTTTAACTAACTTCACTGCTTTGTTGTGTGATGAAAAACCAGGTTGCTTATTCAAGATCTGCAAGTGACGGTCAGACAGATATTTATCTTTGGAAATGCGTATGTTTAATAGCATAAAAATATTTCAGAGAAATGTTCTTGTAAGCATAATTGTGAAGAAAAAGTAATCAAAACATTTGTTTCAAGTTCAAAATGTCTTGTAAAACTGATAAAATTCTGAAGGCAAAACAGTAAAATTGAGTAAGTACTTTTATTTCTTTCAAGCCAAGTATTTCTATACAACATTTAAAAAAAAAGGGAAAATCTCGGAAGGTATTTTGTCACTGTTTTTCTATTGTAGCTATAATCTGAATAATCACTTCTATCCCAAGCTTCTTGTTTTGCAAAACTTAGTCCTGTATATGCAGTAGCTTGGCTTCTACCTCAAGTTTTCTTTATATGCCCCACAATCCATTTCTATGTTTATGTTGTGCTTTAGGTGTCTATAATCAAGGAATGAAACATAGTATAATACTACTGCAGTTTTCATTTTAGAGTCTTGCTGTTAACTCAGGGCAGATGCAATCATTATTATGGCAGACTTACTTTACCACTTCAATTGCTCATAACTAATAAACTGTGATATGGGGCCGTATTCATTTTCCTTACCTTTGGAAAGGAGACTGCCTGGCTCACAGACAGCAAGAAGTCTTTGGAAAGGAAAACTAGCTATGTACCTAATCCAAATAAATTTCCTACAAACTGAATGCAAACTTTTCTGTGCATCTGTTCCAGTAATAAAGTGAATGGTATGAGACATAATTCACTAGATCATGTGGGTTTTGAGATACCTCTCAACTCATGTCTGAATTTTTAATCAGAGTATATAAATCCACATGTTTATGGCAACACAAAATATTAAGCAGTGAAAAAACAGATACACTACCCAGGCTGAATTGAATAATTCAAAACTCATGATTGTCTTATTTACATCTTGGTACAACAAAAGAACAGATTTTTTTCATCTGATGATCAAATTTTGCCTTTCTTCTGCAAATACTCATTTTCCCTCCCAGCAAAGGCATGGTATCTTATTGCTAATACTGTTAAACACATCCATATTTCCCTCTTGGACACTGCATACATTCCACAACAATACCCACCTTCTAGTTCATGAACATTTGATAGAAATAGTAGTAGATTGGGAAAATGAAGAAGATAAAAGTTTACCTGAAACCCATTAAATACTTTCAGAGAACATCTTTCTAGCATGGAAGGATAACATGTACGTTTGGGAAACATACAGAAGCATGTGCCTTTCACTATGTCCCAAAGATGGAGGGAAGAAAGAAAAGGAAGGATGGAAGGAAGGCAGGGAGAAATGGAAGAAGGAATTTCAAGGAAAGATGGAAAGAAAAAGGACAGAAAGAACAAAAAAGCTGAGAAAGGGAAGTGAAGGCAAAGAAAGCAAAGGAAGGAAGAAATTAAAAGGAAGGGAAAAGATGGAGGGAAGGAAAAACCTTTGGGGTGTAGTTGCTTGTGCTGTTCTGCGTGTCTGGGAACCTGGAGACCTGTGATTAAGTGAATACTAATTTTATTCTTTCATAAATAAACAAAAGATCCTTTCCTCAGAAAATACGAGCTACACATGTTTTGACAGATCCCTTTAATTCACTACTGAAAACAGCAGCCATGTATTTGCTATTAAAAGGTATCAGAAAGGAAATGTTTTTAAGACACAAAAGCCCTTTCTATAGTGACAAATTGTAGTCAAGTCAATGTAGTGCAGAATAAGAGGTTTTAGAGGAGAGGTTTTAATACTCACTTTTATCAGACCTGAAAACATTTGGTAGGATTTGGCATTATTTCCTCCATTATCTGTATGGTCAGAATTTTATTTAATTTAAATAGCTCTTTGCATAACATAGAAGAACATGTCTCACTTGGCCTCTGAAGAAGCCAGCCTCACAAACACAAAGCTTGCTGCTGCTGCAGCCTGGGAACCAGCTGGCAGTTTGGGTTTCTAAAAAGGTCTCGGGGCTGAGTCCAGCTGAAGAGCTTGCCGTTGCTCAAGAGGCAAGATGGAGAGCTGTGGACCTTGGAAGATGGATAAACTTTTGGAGACGTGTGCCTGCACCAAATCAAATCTGAAAGCAGAATGTCTTCCTCAGTACGCACCCAACATAACTGCCATGAGAAGTGTTATTTGAAAACAAATTGGAGCACACAAATCCCTTCTGCCATCCCAGGGGCACACAGTCCTCCATACAAGGTCTGTGGCTACAGGCATGCCTTAGTAAGAGAGGGGAACTTTCCTGGTTCCTAGTTTTGAGGTTGAGCAGAAAAAGTGAGTACTTAGAGCTATATAAATTACATGGAAATATCCGCTGAATACTGTTTCCTCCTTACAGTGTCTTTGTCTACCTATAATTGCCAACAATGTGAAACAAAGTTATGCCATCTTGTTCAGCAGTTGCACAGACCTGTCAAGAAACATTGGCACCAGCTTACCTGGGCACTCCCTGTAACGACGCCCTTGCAAACAACATAGGTATGTCTTGGACACTGGCGCAGACAGGCAGAAAAGTGGTGTTTGCAATACTCCCCTGGAGTCTCCACTTTGCTGGCATCATGGCTCGCTCAGATGGGGCTCCCGGGCTAGAAGAGAAGTACCTGATCTGCACAACAGGGTATGAATGTGGGAGAATGTGACAAGTCTGAGCAAAATGTTACTAAATCTCATCTGCTTCTTCCTCTATGCTCTGATTGCACCAAATTTCACAGGTAAATGGCTAAAATATCTTCTGTTGACTTAAGTTGGAAGATGAAGGGGCTGTGAGAAACAAAGTCTTTTGTCCTTTTGTTAAACATACCGCTACAAAACTGAAGTCAAATAGTATGAGGTCAGGTACTGAATTTTAATTCTTTATCTAAAGTTACTACTAGAATAAGCAAATGAAAAAGGCAATAAGCAAATTCTGCATTCTGCAAGTCAATTCTGAAACCTAAAGGGGAGTTTCAGTTTGAAGGATATTCATAATATTGTAGCTGTGTCTGCTTTTTTGCTGTTCTGTGAGAAGCTGAACTTTCAAGTCCTCTTAATGCTGATCAGTTTGAGCACAGGGGATGCCCCACCTGTGGAGTAGATGTAGGGTCAGAGAGGAAGGGTATAAAGTGTTAATAGCTCAAAAATGTTCATTGAAGATCTCTTTACCCTGGAATGAGGCTGTGCAATTTGTGTTCTGCTTCTCCAAGTAAATGCTAAGCTCCAAACCCACCCCCTAAAAGGAGTTTGGCCTTGGATCTCCTGACTATACTTCAGCGTTTTTATGATGGTCAGTCCTCCAGAAAACAAACGTGGCTGGCCAGTGTGCTTAGATTTTGCTCAGTTCCATCTTTCTAAATGTGCTATCTTAGCTTTCGAATTAAGGTTGTGTCTTGCTCCATTTTGTTCTCTGCCTCAGAAAAAAAAAGAATAGTTTTAAAGTTTTCTTGGCCAACAAAACACAACAAACATCATTATTTATAGTTCCTTGTTGCTGGGTATTGAAACCACTGACTCAGCACCAAGTTACTTATGCTCTCAGTTTCTTCTGTGGAATACAGATGATTATGACAAATGCTTTTTAAAAGCTGTCAAAGCAGGGCTGCTATTCTTTAAAGAAGTTTAGGTTTGTTTTTATTGTGTTTTTCTGTAAGACCTGGCTAGCTGTGTGATGTTTCTGTACAGGAGCCATGTTGCCTCTGTACGTAGTGACTGCCAGCCTGGCTCAGCTGCTTACTCATTCAATTTTGTCTTCTACACTGTGACAGACAGTAGGAGAAAAAGATGGGATAACTTACACTGTGTCCCCCATTCTTTTGGCCTTGACCTGAAACATGAAAGTCTGTGTTGTAGTCTGCTTGTTGTGCAAACATTTTGACTGAATGTTTATGTCTAAACCTGCCACTGTGGTTGCATAGAGGTTGCGACAGGTCAGGAGATGCCGTGTTCGTGTCCAAGCCTAGGAGTCCAGGCTTTGTATCCCATGTGATGGGAAGAAAAACAGGCAAGGGGGTAGGTACTGACATTTTGCAGTCCGTTTGTGTAATTGGGATATGAGGGAGGGGATGTTCCCAGATTTGTCAGGTTAGAGGTACATCCAAAGATATTGTTTGGCATGATTTACTGTTGTTGTCTAAAATGCTTTCATTTTCATCACTTAGATTGCATAGAAATTTCTTTACCTTCATGGGGTGTTACAGACATTTTTTTCTCATCACCAATATTTAGAGTTCAGAATTCCCTTTTCAGATTCCCCTTCACTGAAGTTTCCTCATATGCAGAGGCAGACCATGCTTGATGATACAAGAAGCTGGTGACATTGTTGTCCTCCAGATTCAGAAAAGGAGATTAAATGCTTGGAAGTTAAAAGCTAATGCTTATTAGCACTACAGTAAGGAAGGATTTCTCAGCCCTGTATATAAAATTTTAAGGGGCATGCCAGAAAAACGACAGCTATTGCAAAGCACTTCTGAACACTATGCAGTGCTGATTCTGGAGTAAATTCTTGTGTTTGTTGAGCCCCTGAAAGGAGAATAAAGAGGTAATTTTCTTAATATTTTGCAGTGTTTATTGACATTGAACAATAAGTAGTGGTGATAGTAGTGAACAGTAAACTAACAGAAAGAAATGATGGAGTAGTAGAGATGAAATATTATTGCATTCTATATTCACAGAAAAAGAAGGGCATAAGACTCTATCCCAGAGCAATGGAATTTTATCAGGGTTTATTTAAGGCATTTTTAACTGAAAAGTAAATCAGACAAATGTATTGGACTTGATAATGAATTTTAATTTTTTTTTTAATTTTAGATTCTGTAAGTTTAACGCAAAGGGGAAAAATATTAAACAAGAAGTCATCACCAGTCTAAATGGAAATCCATTCTTAGCGTAGCAAAGAAAATGTAGTATATTCCTGATAGCTTGGGAGGCAGAAATGCTATTTACAGAGAAAATCTGGACATGTCTTTTCTTTGGCATGATTGGAGATGTTAGGGGAAGAGTCAGTACCCTGACTTGAAAGATGAGCTTGGCTTTTCCTGTGAGGCTATTTACATATTGCTTGTGAATCCAAAATCAAATGGAAGTTGCACACAGCCCTAGGCTAACAGCCTTCTGGGTCCTGCCTGCTCTCTCTGTCCATTTGTCTCCTGCACTTTGTATATTATTTCTTTTTCCTTCAAAATGCATAGACCACAGATAATGGAGTATTTCAGTACTAGGAAACATCCTTCATTGTTTGTGCTTTCCCTGTTTGTATAACCTCAAATTGTCTTTTCTCCCTGTGTTAAACACGTTTGCTTACAATTGCCTTGTGGGCTTTTGCAACAGACGGATTGGAGAAATGATGAATGTAATTTGTTTCGCTACAACACAGGATATGCTATGTCTAGATCAACATCATTTTGGAAGAGCATAAACTTCTCTTCCAAACTACAGCCTTCAGTATGGCTCTGGCTCCCAGGCAGAGTGCAGGGAAGTGCATCGTTGCTTTTATTGCTCAGGAACCCCATTTAATTTGTGTACTGGATGAAAAGATCTCAAGTTTTAGCTTTACATCTTTATGATTTACTCCTGAGGGCTGCCCACTGTATTTGGAGTAGGGCATGGTTATGCAGTTACAAACATTCTTATACAAACAGTCAAGTAAGACATACTAAAGCTGAATTGCACATTTCACTTTAGTGTATTTGTCATTTAATTTGTCATTTAATTATTTAACTTTATGAGCACAAAATCGTATACTGTTTACATGTAACAGCTGCACACACATGCAGGTATATGTATACTTATGCCCATACAGATATCTGCTTCTGTATTCTTTAATTATGAAGGGTAAATACTACATTTCTCCAGAGATACATTTCCCTTCATCTGAAGGGAGATGTTCAAATTAGTGTACCCTTCATGTGAACCATACATCCATAACACTATACCTCACCACCTGCATCTATATCTCACCTGCAGTGCTGGAGACTTTGCTTTCTCATACTAAAGTGCAAACACTCCAATAGCTCTGTGTGATCTGGCTTTGCCACAGTAGATATGTGGCCCTGTACAAATCAAGAAATATGCTCTGTAGATAGCATACATGGATATTAGGTTTTTATTTACCTTATTTTTCATGGAAAAGCATTCTTACAAGTAGCAGAATTTGTGCTTATCCTGAATCTATTAATACCAAACAGAAACTTAAATCAGTGAACTTTTTTTCATAGAGACATATACACTGTAATTAGGCCCAGTTTTTCCTAATGAAAGGAAGAAAGAAACCTTAGTGCCTGTATAAAATCTTTGTGGTTGAGCTGAAGTGAGGTGAAAGGTCTCACTGTGCCAGTAGAAGACTCACTGGTTTTGCCAGCAAACCAGGGTTCAGTACTTCTGAATAAAAGAAAAATACATACCCAAAAAGTCCTAAATCAAGGACTTAAAATATTCTGAAACACTCCAGCACAGCTCAGCCCTGTTCAGACATGATCACTGTGCGTGCTGAGTCATGGAAAAACTATTGTCTGATCACATAACTGAAGTCTGTTATGTAAGTCACACACTTAGGTATGCCAACTCCCAAAGCATACAAGAAAAAGTGATGGCAAACAATCTAAATGTTGGGAAGCATAGACAATACTAGAGACCAAATGGGTAGTTAAGCTGCAGAGTGAAGGTCAATAAAGACAAAAAATGCGTTGAAACTGGTATGGACCCCAACAAGCCAGAAGTGCTGGTATGGCCACCAGCGACTCTTCCGCTATCTAAATTGCAAGGAAAGCTCCTCATCCTAGAGATAGCTGACATTTAAAGAATAGCTAAGCATTGTGCCAACAGATCCATATAACATGCCAAAGAATCATAAAGCATTGGCATCAAGGTACTCCACATCATTACTGATTTTATAATGATATAAACACAGGGAATATTCTAAAAGCATAAAGAATGCCAATGTTCTTATGCTCTAAAATAACCACCATGAAAATGTTGCTCATGGACTTGTCAACCTGGTTTTGATCCTGAGTAGAAAACTGACATTAACTGTTTAACTTTGTAAGCACTGTTTAAAAGAAGACACCTTCTTTTAATGGCAGTTAAAAACTAATGAAAGGTAGGCCTTGTTAAATGAAATAGATGTCATTAAAAAATAATTAGGAAATAATCCTTGGTAACAGGTATTGTCATAGAAAGGTTACCTTGTTTCTGGGAAAGTGTCAAAATGACCACTGCTGCACGGCACTGGTTGAAACTGCTCCATCCATTCCTCCCTTCCAATGGTTCCCTGAGAGCCATTCCCTGCTGAACAGAGAGAACATACTTTACTTGTGACTGGAAAGTAGCAGAACAGAGATAAGTCTGTTCCCACAGTGTAGTGCAGGGCATACTCATTGGAATTCCTGCCTTCTATGAGCTGGTCCAAACATCTCTAAGGATATTACATCAAGATGCCATAGAACAAAATTACGTATATTGTAGGTACCATCCCACATGCTTTGATTATTACATCAAGATGCCATAGAAAAAAATTACCTATATTGTAGGTACCATCCCATATGCTTTGATAACCTCAGAATAATGTAATGATTTCATTTATAGTCCATTAAATAAATCAAAGAGGTACTTTGATTACAGTCTACAAGCACTTAGATTATTACAATCCTGCAACATGAAAAAAGCTGCACAAGAGCTAAGATCTTCTACAGTGTCCAGTCGAGTCAAGTCTGGAAAGACATAACACATTTCCAACCATGACATTGGAAAAGTCTATAGAGTGCAATAGAATATCTGTTACTTGACTTCATTAAATCAAATTGAACGGCTTTATAAAAGCTTGACTTGTTTTACTGATACAGTGAAAAGCTGAAATAATGAAAAGGTGTGCTTTGCCTTTCTGTAAGCCTAATTACTCTATCATTTACACTTTGGTTATCATTTCTTCTCTAAAAAAAAATTTCAAATGCTGAAGTGACAGTAGTGAAATAAAGAGTGTGTATTTCTAATACAAACCATGGTTTTGTGGTACTGTAAGCTTTTTCCTAGTACATTCATATACATTCATACATCTTGGTTTGTTTGGTTTTTTTCTTTTTTCTGGGAATTTTAGGTGAAGATGCTTTGCTGCCAGCACCTCAGAATATCTCTATTCATTCTACCAACATGAAACACTTCTTATCTTGGAGTCCTGTGATTGTCCAGGGAGAAACTGTGAGATACTCCGTTGAGTTTCAGGGGTAACTTCTGTTGTCCTTCTTTGTTCTTTGAACACTGTTTACTTAGACTTAAAATTTGGCTTTTTTGGGCGTCTTTAGCACTATTCAGTTCTTAGACATAGGAGAAGTTTTATACTCTACACGTTAGTTCATTACATGTGGGGGAAAAAAGTCCTTTTGCTCAAGTTCTGAGACTGCTTACAGGTTAATAGATACCAGAGTAATCCAAGCTGTGCATTAAGCCCAAATATTAAAATATCTGGGCATTAAGCCCAAACATAAAAACTACCTCTGTCCAGAAAATTCAAAAGTTAGGAGGATTAGCAACAGTTTATTTAGAAAAGGAAAGAGATTTATTCAGTGATCATCTTTTAAACATCTAACACACGTTATAAGAGGTTTCTGATCCATCTTGAGTTATGACTTGTATTACAGTATATCTTTGGAATTCTGGTTTACCAGGGATAATCAAGTGAAGTGAGTGGGCAGGATCTGAGGCATCAACACTGTGTTGGCTATCCCCACCTCCTACATTATCATGCTCCATTTGACTCATGAATGAGGTGGCTCTGGGAGATTTTGTCTAGATAGGATCTAAACCACACCTATACTGGTTTCATACACTCCTGGTATTCCAGCTCTGAAGCACCCCAGTACTGGTTTTACCTGGAAAGAACGAGCAAGCAGCCTTTGACTATGTTACAGATATTCATCCTACCAGACTGTTGCCTGTTTGCTTTCTTTTCCTCTCCTCAGGGAGTATGAACGAGACTATGCCGATGAGAGCTGGATTCCCATCTGTGAATGTTCACTCACCACAGCCACGGTGTGCAACATCACAGAGGATATCTCAGCCACTGTGGCCTATAACCTGCGTGTAAGAGCAGACATTGGCACTAGAAGATCAGAGTGGGGCACCCTGAAAGGTTTCTTCAATCGCATTACAAGTGAGTCCTGCTGTTTGGCTTAGCTACATTGTGTTAGTTTCTCAGTCTGGTGTTGAGGGATTGCTCATGCATATGTTTATGTACTGTGCATGTCACACAAAGCCAATGAATGCACAAAGCACATCCTGCTTCTCAGTTTCTCTCATTTTGGGTTGGGATATTTCACTCTTAGTTATACTGTGTTCATGGACATAAGTTCCTCCTGAGGCAAGGCCAGATTTACAGGGCTTGAATCTCCAGGGCTTCTAAGATCAGTAAGAAAACATTTCTTTTGGCAAGTTGGCTACTCCTGCCTCTGATTTCAAAAGATTCGGATCAACCAGGGTTGCTGTCAGTGCTCCATCTAATCCATGTCTTCTAGTCACTCCCGAGAGTACAGAACCTGACCCTATGGAAGCACTTACTCTAGAAAACAGCCATGTCACCCTCCATCTGCTTCATGCTGTCCTGAAAATCCCAGTTCCTTCCAGACATGATTCCCTCCTCCCATGTTGTCAGATATATGAAGTGACCTCAGAAGAGGAAAATAAAAAGTAAACTGTAACATTGCTGCAGTTCTAGCCATGCAGGTATTTTGTCCATATCCTTCCAATCCCTGCAAAGTTTGAGGTCTAGCTCAACCTAAGGGTCATGTTGCAGCCTAAAATTAGCATGCTGTTTCCAGTGTTCCTCTGGAATCATTGCCTATGTTCTCTGCCTATGTTCTCTGCTGTGTAGTAAACTGATTGCAGCGATAAAAAGGGGTGGAAAACCCCTGTCAAGGTCACTATTGGAGTGCAAGTCTCAGTCTGGGATGGGCAGCAGTAATCAGTTTTAGCCAGAAAAGAAATTGCCTGTCCAAGATCAGAGCTGACCCAATCTTAAACCTTCATCAGTCGTTGGAAATTATATACTACTTCATAAGTCAGCAGTCCTCACTCATACAGACCACTTAATCAAAGCAGCACCATGAGAAGTGCCACCTAAGATGGTAAGCATGTCTCTTGGTGTGGAAGTGTTTTCTAGATAGTGCTTTAGATGAAAACTCCTTCCCTTTCCTGAGATCTCTGGTGACATAGAGTTGAGCCATGGACCACACCATCAGGCATTTATATGGAAGGGTATTCCTTAGCTTGATCGTCTTCATTAAGAAAAGCAGCAACTTTCTTATGGTATGGTGATGTATTTGACAGCTTAGTCTTGTGTCTAAGAGACCTCAATACAATCTTCTCTCTCTAAGCTGTGAAAGTTCAGAGGATACAGCTTGCAATGGGCTGTAGTATGAATGTGCATATATGGACAAGTATTTAAAGGAGAAAGAAAAGTCACTGTACGTTCTTGTCCTTCTGCATTTTTACTGCTCACTTTTCCTTGCCTCTGCTATTGCCTCTCTTAGGAAATGTGAAATTACATCTGAGAGGACCTAAGGAATTCAAAGCACAGCCCACAGGTTCTGTATGTAGCTCATAGACAGGGAATCAGCACAGCCCACATTACTTGTGGTCTAAATAGCTCCAGTGTCAAAGCCTTAGATGTAGATACACATAATGGTGACACATGGAAGACACTTTTAAAAGACCTTCCTAAAACTAACAATTTAGTTATGTCTCTCTTCTTTTATCAAAATTGCAAGAGTTAGTTGGTATCCAGTGTGCCAACATAGAGATAAATCTAAATGCTTCTGTTTGGTAAGTAGTAGCATCTTGCAATATTCATTTGTTAAAACATTATTCCAATATTTGTTTTTAACCTCCAAATAATCTTAAGACTTTTTGTTTGTTTTTGTTTTGAGACATTGTTAAGCAGATTCTCACCTTTCAATTCAAAAGTATAAAGTAGTTTTCCAGGTGTCTCGTTTGTGGCATGCTCATTATGAACATATTTGTATTTTATCTTTTCATACTGCTCAGTATTAATGGCAATTCACGGGATGTAAGAGCAAATTCTATTAAGAACATCTCTTCTGTATGTGGCTATACATTGCTCTCCTTCCTTTCTTAAAAGCAAGGAAGTTAAAACCAGCTTCAGCCACAATGGAGTGATAAAGAATGTCATATATAAGTAGTGCAGACATGATCTTTGTACTGCCTTGATTCCCAGTTCACGAATGTTCAGTATGTAGTTTCATTCATGCTTGATTGACTCTGATTGTTTCACTAATACTCCTCACAGCAGAATCCCAATCTGAACCAATCTTTGAATATCAAAGTAAGCATGAAGCAAATAATCTGCAGATTTACTTGCATACATTTACAAAAACTTAGTCACAGCAGGTCATCAGCCCAAGTCTATCTAAAACCATATAGACACTAGAAGAAAATCAGCATTCATGTGAACTGCCAGAGTTACAGAGTTCCACTGCCAGAGGATCATACTGCTTTTTCCTTTACATTTGAGTAACTGCCAAAATTCCCATGAAAAAGCAATGGTTTCACAGCTCCTGCCCTGTATGTTAGTGCTAAACTAACGCCCAGGAGCAGAACTGGTCTGATCTGGTGTCTTCTGGTTATCCAGCTGGTTCTGCTGCTGTTGTTCACACGGGACTCTTAGGCCAGATGCTTCCTCTACTGGAGAAAATTCAGAAGCTTTCAAGTTCTGTGCAACTCAGCTTTTGCCAAACTCCCATTTGCAATGCCAGCCATGGTCACCCTGTTCAAACTCTGCTAGTGTATCTAGTCATAGTGGGAGGCAGAACAGAGAGAAGCTTTTGCCCCACTGAAGCAGCTGCCTATTATTCCAGAGTAATGTTACTGTGCTCATGATGGCACCTTCTTTCCCTCTCCTAGCTGTGAACAGGACTATTTTTAAGGATTGCCTCAGATGTGATAATGGTGCTCTCTCTGTGTTGGCAGCTTCCCTGACCCCACCTCTGATGAAGGTCATAGCAGATGGCTATCATTTATTAGTGGAGCTGGAAGACATGGGGCCAGCCTTTCAGTTCTGTGTTCTCTATTGGAAGAAGGGCCAAGAGAGTAGGGTGAGTTTTATCCTCGGGTTTTGGGCAACAGCAGAGAGCCTACATACTTAAAGTGAAAGCATACATACATTGCCAGGGCCTCTTTGCCAGTCCAAACTCCTGCTGTGAGGCTGGGGGACATGTCTGGAGTCAATGTGTGCCATATTCCTCTGCACATACCAGTGCATTGGTCTTACCTTTGTGGAGAAGCTTGTGTCTTCTTTCCACATTTCCTTCTCTGGGAAGAGGAATCTCCTCAGGGACCTCAATCATTGAAAGAAACCAGAAGTCAGGAACTGAAGGTGTTTGTGCTGACTTTCTTCTCTAAACATTATTTGGATTACTCAGACAAGATTAACTTGTCACACCGAGGTGCCAGCATTTTTCTCAGGATTTTTTTTTTTGTAAAACAGCTTGTCTGTGACAGTGAGCTGCCAGTTGCTTAGCTGAGAGCATTGCTTATACCTGAAGCAGTGACAATTTATGTTCCATTGAGGTCCTTCTGTTTTCACTAGATATCAACATTTTTTTTTCTCCTGGGAACTTGTGCTTCCACAGCACCTAAGAACATAAAAGCATGAAATTTCAGCAGCTGTATAAAGTCAGACCATGAGACCATCAAACCCAGCGTTTTCTCTCTGCCAGTGGGCAATAGAGATAACCAAGGAAATTAATGAGGAGAAAGCCTGTGTGTAATTACGCTCAGGTTATTTTCTGAGATTTCACAGACACAGCTCCAGGAAATTCCTGAACCAGAAATGGTATCATTATAATAGTCCTTGATGATTTTTTGTTCCATTAATTTCTCTGTTGTCGTTTTCAAGTTATGTAAACTTTTAGCACATACATCCTGTACTCAGGAATTCTGCAGCTTAACTGTTGTGCAGTCTCAATCTTGGTTTAGGGGAGAGAGAGAGAGAAGAGAGAACAGTTATTCCCTAGTCACTTTCCCTGCCACTCTGAGTAGTTTCATATTGTGTATCTTCTTCCAGGCCAAGGACTCCCAGGCTACTTAGTTGTTCCCTGTGGAAGCCTTTCCAGCTACTTTTGTTTTTACCAAGGTGGTTAGGGAGTAAACCTGCACAGTTGAAGGTGCAGAAGCATTACACAAGTCTCCACATTCCTTTATGTCCCCAGCAGTTGTTAACAAGGATGACTACCACAGAGCTGACTGTTCCAGAAAACCTGAACCCCAAGTTCTTGTTTCTGATGAGGGATGCTCAATTCAGGGAACACTCGCTGGCTGTAAAAATGAAGGGGAAAAATTCTCATGGGCACAATTTAACCAGGTTGGAAAAAGCCTTGGGTGACCTGGTCTATGAAGCGTCCCAGGCCATGGCAAGGGGGTTAGAACTGGATGATCTTAAGGTCCTTTCCAACCTTAACCATTCTATGATTCGATGACAGGCACAACTCCAGCATAGCTCAGACTGTGACTGAAGGTTCTGGGCTGAGCTTAATGGTGCTTCTGGGCCATGGAGAGGAGGGTGAAGATGGGGGAGCCAGACAGGACTGGTCAGGGCCATTGCGGCCTGGTTAGTGCAGTCCCATGCCTTTTGATCCCATGGCTGTTGGCTTAGCAGGCTTTTGAAGTAGATCTTGACTATCTTTCGGAAATTGAAGTAAACAAGATCAACCGTGTTCATGGGCTTAACAAAATGTTAACTCTTCTTCGATGTATGATATTAATCACCTGAACATTAATTCCAGACTTCAGAATAGTTTCTAACTACTGGGCTGTCCCAAGCACCAGGTTTGCTGGTTGCTACCTGTCCAGTTCTCTGCTGGGACTCTTTTAATTATTTATTTTTTTTAATTGTCACATTTGGCATGTCTGATTTGAGGTTGTTGCAAGAGGTTACACACCACACATAGTCACTGACCTTATTTCACCCTTGAAATCTTTACAAACTAGTGGGCCTCAAGATCACCTTTCTGTGGAGAGGGATATTTTGATGGAGAGAAGGACTTGCCCTACAAGAGAAGCCCTACTGGCTTGTTGGAAGTATCCATATGTGCGTGTAATGCTGGAGGCTGATCAGGCCTTCTGTGAGTGCAGGCTCTGCATCTGAAACTCAGAAAGAATTAATTAATTGATTAATTAATTAGTTAATTGTTACCTGTCCTCTCTTGACTGGGGAGACTGGAAATATTGACTGCTTTTTGCTAGCAGTTAATGGAGTCCTATTTATTGCAGGAAAATTATGTACTGGTGTTGATATGCTGTTTAAGAGTTGCTGAAGTGTGTTGAGTTGCACACACTAAATTCACTTGCTCCTCATAAGCATGGTCTATCCCCTCTCAGTGCTCTAGAGTTACAGCAGAGCTCTCACACCCCTGTCACAGCATGGTTCTGGCAGTCCTATCATACCACACTAACACAGGCATGATTTTCTTATCCCAGCAAAAACTTGGATCAGTCAAGATCTTAGTCATCAAGTCCTTACACCAGGTCATAGCATTGTGGCCCAACATCACCATTATACCTCTTAGGCTCACTGCTCTGTTTTTCCATCCCCTTCAACAATGTGCGTGGTCTCATTCTGCACTCCACTGTGCTTCCTTGTTTGCTGTTTTTCTCCCTCTCTTACACCTCCTGCTGTTCCTTCCCCTTCTCCCAGTAAAGTCTGGGCTAGCATCATATCAGCAATCCTGTTCACAATTAGGTCCTTGCCCTGTCTTCTGATGCTCTCTCCCCTGGGCTTGTGGCAGATGCAGCGGAAGATGGTGAAGGAGGTCAGCTCTGTGGTTCACCTGGACACCATGGAGGCAGGACCTGATTACTGTGTAAAAGCTCAGACATACGTTGAGGTGATCAACAGAAGCAGCAGCTTCAGCCAGACACAGTGTGTGAGGGCACAAGGTAACAGCCACCCTTCCTTCCTATTCCCCTGGTTTAGTCATGTCCAAGGACACCCCAGCAGCTCTTCCTTTCATTTCCACCCAGTACCTCCTGTCTTATTTGCAAATGTGCTGCCCATTTGTTCCTTGGGGAAGGAAAAAAGAAAGACTCTGGAGAGCAGCCGCCTACACTGGCACAAGTATCCTTCCCTGGAGTGTGCCAACAAAGGATCTCACCAGGGTGGATGGAAAGATAAGCCACAGAGAGTGCAGGCTGACTGCATTGAGTGGTTTATCCTCAAAAGGTTTGCCTCTCAGAAGTTTTGCTGCTTCTATTATTTCTAGGTGATACATCCATGTGGCTGGTCACTGCCCTCCTCATCTCTGCTGGCTTTGCCGTGGTTGCTTTGACCCTGCTTTTCGTTACCTGGAAAACAAGCAAAATCCTTCAGTATTCCTGCTGCCCTGTTGCAGTCCTGCCAGACACACTGGTAACTTTTTTTACTGTGTTTTATTGTTTTTTAGGGTGTTGGATATTCACAGGAGCATGAGGCAGGCAGAAAAAGCAGACACATGCACAGGATGCCTTGCTCATTACAGTATGATGAGCTGAGCAGCCCACTTGAGTTGGCTGCATGGCTGTCACTGCCTTTGGCCTACAGCCCTGATTAGGGAAGATGCTCCTGATGCTTGTGGGGAAGCAGCTTGGGAGGCATGGACTGTCCCTGCTGACCAGCTGCTCCCTGAACAAAACAGCTGTGTCATTGGCAGCACTGCTCCATGTCCCCTGCTATCAACACTGAGCTTCTCAACAGCTTGGTAAGGAGAAACAAATCAAAAGCAGCCTCTTTTCTTGCTCAGAAGTATGTTTGAGTCAGGAGCTGACATGTACTGTGCAGTTCAAGAGAGAATGAAGGAAGCAGCTTTTGTGGCTGTGGGTTCCTGAGCACTGGGTCTGTGGGCAGTTGTGGCAGGAAGGATGAGAGGAACAGTCTGTGGGGAAAAGTGGAAGCCTTGAGGGTGTTTGAGCGAACACATTTGTTTTGCAGAAAATATCAGAACCCCCAGCCCAGCTGATACTGTGTGGCAGTGAAGAAGCTGAGCAATGTGATCTGATGGTGCATGTGATACCCTCAGAAGAAGTTCTCCAACTGTGGATTCAAGAAACACTTCAGATCTCATAAAAAACCAGCCTGGGGAAACAGATCTTGTAAGCAGAGCTGGCAGATGGTACCCCAGCCACTTTCCTCACAGTGCCAATAAGTAGCATTTGTGTCTAAAACCTCTGTGTCTAAAAACTGCTGCAAACCAAGTGATACGAGTGTGTGGCCTGATCTGTTCCTCTGTGTAGCATCTTCATCCATCTGCATAAAAAGCAAGTAAAGGTCACAGGTGACAATCGCTATCTTCTATAGTTTATCTTCATACCCATACCCATGACCAAGTGTGAGTTAACTCACGTTCACTTTACTTCTGTCAGTCACATCGACAGTTCCAGGGCAGAGACCACCCTTCGCCACCAGGATTTCACCAGAGCAATGAATGCAGAGACCAGTCCCTTTGTTCCAAACCATTTCAGCCTCAGTATTTTTGCCTTGGTATTTTAAAAAGAAATTAAGCAGCCAGTAAGAGCTTGGTTAAATCAGCTGGAAAGAGCAGGGAAAAAATTGCTTTAGGACTGCAGGCCCTGACCTGAGGTTACACTCATTTAAAAGGATGCTGACAGAGACTGGACACAACATAACAATTTGCTGCTTGTGGCAGATAGCCATGTATGGTGCCAACAAAACACAGAGACAGACCATGAGGGGCAGCTGGGTTTTACCGGTGCTTGGTGGTGATGGATGTAAGAAATAACCAGACTTCAAAGATGGGTGGAAGGATCTTTGAAAACCATTTTGGGGAGCAGAGCTTTGCAAGACCAGAAGCACTGCTAATATTATGTAGGTGCAAGATCACCTAGTCAGGGTGTCAAAACCATGAATTCATACGGGCAACGGATGCCTCTGCACCGGGAGGCACTGAGCGCCACATGTATGGATCAAGCATCACAGCATTACCATATTAGTGACAATTACAGGCCTGATGACATCATTATCTTCCAGATATCTTGTCCTTTTAAGGGACAAAATTGTTCCTTTAAAAAACAAATTCCTTTTAAATAAGAATAAAATATTTTTGTTGCGTATATTGCAATTATGGCTGTCACTTTGAAGAAAAATAACTTATTACCTGTGAAGTGAAGACTTGTGTTAGGAGGGCATGAAAAGACTTTGAGCTGAAAAGGTTGAAATGGTTTTTTTAAAGCTAACAACGAATCTGATGAAATGCAAGACCTTCCTCACAATATGCCAATCTGGTTCATTCTTGCAATCTTCCATCAAGCCATCAGGTGGCAACAAAACACCGTGAAAGAGTTAGAAGTGACTCAGGGTGGCTCATACCTCTCTTCTCTGTAGGCAGTCCACGCCCTGGTTCCTGGCTAGCATCACACTTCGGTATTGTAGCCCAGTGGTTTGTTTTATTCCTGTCCCACTAACATCTGCCTGGACAGTATTAGGATATAGTTCTCACGTGTTAAACAGTAAGATTGGTACTGCTCAATATGAGGCAAATTACAGGGTGAGAAAATCTGTGAAAATTTGAGCATTGAAGATTTGGGGTTGGTTTTAGGTTGACAGCTAACTAGGAATACCTATATGATGGTGGGCCCTGACAAGGAGATCTGGGAATAGAGAGGAGGAGGGCATGTACACGGGCTGATACAAGTCTTGAGGGATCCAGCAGGTCTTGTGCCCTCCCTGAACTGAGCTGGGGTGGCAGCAGGAGGCAACCAGTGGCTGACTGATTCTGGCAGCAGGCACTAGTGAGGACCAGTTTTGCTAAGGACAGTCAGCACAGAAGAGCGCTCCCTTGCAGGGCTGTGGGCTCTTGGTTAAACATCCCCTTAGCTTTGCCCAGTGCTTGAATTTTCAAGGCATAGCTCCTCATTACAGAAGCCTTGGTAGTAAAGCTGGTTTAGAGAGCCCCTGTGTCTTGCATTTATGCTTATTTTATTCCCTATTGATTTGGATGAGTTCAGTGTCTTGCTTTCTAGTGTGCCCACAGGGGTGTCCCATACAGGAAAATGTCCTGTTACTTCTCCATTCCATGGCTATAGGTCTGAAAAGCCTTAGTAGTTCCTCCAATCTCTTCTCCCTGACATAGTTTCATCATGGCAGTACCAATTGTTTAGGGATACAGAGTAAAGCAGGGAAAGAAAAGGCCCTTGAATATGAAGGGCTTTTAAGAATTGTTCTACTGCATATTTTCCAGCTGCATACTAAGTATACGGCATATGTTTGTTTCTCACTTGCAACAACAGATTTTATGCCCTTCCTTATTGCCAATAAAGCAGTTAAACAGTTGTACAAAACCGCACAGACAACGTTAAACAAAAGAAATACCTGAAAAAAATTCTTAAAATAGGGAGATGAAATGGAATTAAGTGCTGCTGCTGTCATAGCAAGATCATATTCAATTTGCATCAGGATATTCCAGTTTATGTCTGTGGAGACTTGGAGCTAAATTTTGGATGCTGATTGAAAGTCCCTGGAAACCACCTCACTTTGAAGTACGTACTGCATTTTGTTAGGCCTGAAAATCATGGTATACAACAAGAGCAATTCCTTTGCTATCTGTGTACATAGTAGCACGGTAGCATTGGCATAAGCAGCTGCTCTCAGCCACTCTTTTTAGTTCATTTCTGTGCATTCCAAGAGTTAACCATGCCTTAGCAATCATGGCAACAGCTGTCTTTCTTTGATAACTGATTGTGCTCCTACAACCATGATACGACATGTCAAAAAAGGACCAAAGAAGAAAAAGCAGGGAAGAGCAAGGTGTGCTGATGAACTTTGCTCCGTTTCTTTCTCTTGATGTGGTCGTGAGTGGCTATATTTCTTTTGAAAATGCACTACTTGGTTACTTTCCTCAAAAAATGTTGCATGAAAATAAAGCACAAACCTGCATCACCTTTCTAGTGAGTTTTATTTCTGTGCTGCATGTAACCCGTCAGATGTGACTCTGAAAAAAACAACTTATTCCTGAAGACTTTGTAAGAACAGAAGAAAAGCTGATAAGACTGGTTTGCAAAGAAAAAAATGATTCAGTCTATTAAATGCAGACCAGCATAAAGACTGTTGATTACATGAACATTTAAAAAGAGTTATGTGATACTACTGGCTTAATAAAAAAGCAAGGAATTCAATTATCTGTTCCATGACACTAAATGGCTGGAATAGAGCCTAATTCTTCCTGTGAAGTATATTTTTTAGAAGTACATTAAAGTTTGTAATTTTTACAGACTGATATTAATATACAGTCCAATTAAAACTGAGATCTTTAACTGGATAAATTACCATTTAAAGTGTTTTCTGCATTATTGCAGTATGTTTTGTCTCTTTAAAAGTTGTCTTTTTTCCTTACAAAATCAAAAAGTAAGCTAAATAACTACTTTGACTACAAATCGATTCAGTTTCTTGTGAAGGCAGTACTGTGTCCTGAAAACAAACTGCTACGAATGTATTAAACATCTAAATCACTGCAGATAAAGGTATTTATTGTTTAAAGAGTTTATGTGCAGATGATTCTGTTATTACTGACGTACAAAGTTGCAGAAATAGAAATTACTCAGTTCAGGTCTCTTGTGTTCTTCTCAATAAGAAGAACTATAAAAAAAATCAAAAATTACTAAATTGAGGTGTAAAAGGAATTAAAAGATGGCAAGGTTAAGTGAAATTGCCCACATAAATACTGCTCACAGAGCCCTAGTTTAGTTTCATTCAGTGTAAGGGCTATAATTTAGCTATTACTACAGCAATGGCTCCTTCTGGGGAGTTTAATGTCCGTGGTTCACTCAGGATCAAACTCAGACCTTCATTAACAGCTGAGGACATGCTCTCACAGTGCAGGCCAGCAGACAGCGAGCCTACCCCAAAGGCATCCTGTTCACCCCTTCAGCTGCAGAGAGAGGTTTGACAGGAGCTTGCACTTTCTTTACAGATCTTCAGCATCGGAATAGAAGAATGAGGAAACTGCCAGTCTGGACTTCCCTGATGTTAGCGACTTACTTTGCCTACACGAAAGTCTCCTGTGCTACCCCAGAGTCTGTCATTCCTCACTACGGACCCAAGAGGAGAGCAGCGGCACTGCAAGGTGTGGCTGCGGGCAGCAAGGTGGGGAAGGGTTGCTATCACCCAGCATTGGAGCAGCTCCCCCAGTGACTGGTGTTGGGACCAATTGCTGAACAACCTTGCAGTAATGAGGCTGGTGAGTCAGGACTGGAGCATCAAACGTGGCCAGGGCTACAGCAGAGCTGTAAAAACAACCAAGCTAGAGTATGGCTCTGGCAGTGAGTGCCAGAGCTCGAAGTCAGCTCCCAACAGAGGGCGGGTCCTGGTAAGAATTTCCACTATCCTCTCCCACAGCGGTCTGACCATGGGTGACATGGGTGTACCGTATCAGAGCTGGTCTTGGGCACAGGCCCTCCAGCCACTGACCCCGGGGGGTTTACCAACCAGGCAACTACAAGCAAGCTGAAGGACCTTTGTCTTCATTGTCCCTTGGGACCATAACAATATTTGATTATCTTTTTTTATTTTTACATTATCCTGTATTTTTTATCAGACATTTGAATCAAGAGCATGAGGCCTATTTAAAGACACAGCAGAGGATTAAAGTAAATACATTTCACCTGTCAAAAAAAGACTTTAGAAAGAGCAGAGAAGTGTTGGCATGGTGAAACAGCAAGGTGAGGGATAATAGTGTGAGCAATAAGGCATCCTTCAAAACCCTGAAGTCATAGCCAAATGAGAAAAAAAAAAAAAAGAGGGAATCACAATTTCTATCTATCTGATTAAATGTAAATGCACAGTAAATCAGGGCAAAAAGATTTTGGGATACAACTTCCTACGAGCATCTAAAATAATAATAGATCCTAGAAACGGGACACTTGCCAGGGAGTCTTCAGGGCCACATGATCAAGTATCAAAGGAGCTCTCAACAAAGTTCGAGCAATGGCAGAAAACCAAACTGAATTTGTAACAACTCTGCTTACTGCGAAGGAGTTTCTGAAGGTTCCAATGCTGAATCTTTATGTCTGAAAGCATAGGATTGCATTTCACAAGTGGATGTGCTTGAAATGTTTGTACATTAGGACCAAAATGGATAAATTACTCCAAAATTAAGCCTGGAGTTCCTGCATGTGGGTGGGAGATTTGAATACTAGCTGTTGGTTCATAGGTCCTCATAGGATCCTAGGAT